ATTATACATATAGGTACTACATGTGGACCTCTCTCAGATTTGTTCATTTTCTAATGATATCTTCTGTTCTATAATTGCCATGTGCATTGCTAACAGCGGAGCTATCTCAGCCGACAGGCTGCTTGTTGAAATATGACGTGGCCCTAAAAAGGGCCGGCTGTTTGGTTTGTGCTTCCTTAGAAACGATTCAAGCAAATCGTATGAGAGCCGCAAGCAAGTGTAGCACTCATTCGGCTTTAGTGTTGTCGACAATGAACTCGATGTTGCAATATTGTAGCAACCCGTACCTAGGAGAGTGGTTGAAATCACGTTATTTTGGCTTTATAAAATATTTGGTAGCAGCTTGCAAATCCATAACTGGGGCCAGCAATTTTGCAATGTCACGCCGAAGACTGCCAACTTTTTTACTATCTTTCATCACCGCAATTACATTTCTGCCATGAAACTATGCTTCTGTCGTTGGATAAAAAAAAACCCAAGCCCACCACAATATCCATATAGTGAGACATTCCAGCCGCCGGAACATGTTGAATGATAACTTTCACCGTGATTGATAAGCGTCGAAACTGATAAGAAAGCAATGTCACAATTTGACCTTTATGATGAAATACTAGTAGTGATGTCATTCTTAGCCAATCAGTAAAGCAGATGCATAAAGGTCAAAGATGATTGCCAAACAAAAGCATTGTGTGGCAGTGCCATCGCAGCGAAGCGACCCAATTTTTCTTGTCTCTTTATTGTGATTAGACATGGATGAAAAGTGCCAAGCTGACAGACTGCGAAATCCGTGGATTAAAAGTGTGAAGTCCAAATTGTGTGGGACGATATCGACAAACTTCAGGAAGAAGTTGTAGGGATTTTGTTTGACAGCTACAGTCACGCCAACTTGGACTTTGAAGGTTTTGAGTTTGTCGAAGATGGCAATGAACATACAAATAAAGATCTTTATTATTTTTGGTTTGTTTGTCACATTATAAGTTTTGTTTTACTTCTAATGTTGTATATTGTTCATTTATTTCCGTTGCATGTTTTTATTTGCCGTTCTGTTCTCTGCAGCCGTTCGATCTGCGTGTTGCCAATTTTCGCAAATTTTCTTTTTTTTCGCCGGGGATATCCTGGCAAATGCCCACCCCTATTTTTTGGCAATTTACCATGTTCAGAACCCTGGGCTTATACCCGGAAAAATATGGTATGATGACTGCACACAAAATCAGAAACGTTCGTAGAATATCACTGGCATTCCCGCTCTATTCAATTCATTACAAACTGAGGCCATGCATTCAGAACATTTTATGATTGTTATTTTGACACCTGACTATGCCTAGGTTTTCAGTTATTCTAACTGTCTTCAGACATACCACCAAACTGCATTAATCACTATATAAGTTACACTCAATTGTGGCCCTTGCAGTTCACTAGCCATAGTGTTGAGGTAATCAGTCGGTGATGTTCATGCAACTTGTGGTTTTTAGCTGTATGGTTGAAGTAGTCAGTTGATGAACACACACTTACGTCCAGTAATTGCTGATATTCAGCATTGGTAACAACCAGACGTAAAACAGTGTTGAAATACATGGGGTGAATTGGCACCCAATTGTCCTACAAGCCACATGGCAACACCAGAACTGTGCCACACCTGCCGACAATCAGGTACTAGAAGTATTGTAATGAATGACCCTGAATTCTAGTTTGACAACCCCTTTATAGAAAAGGTATGGGCATTTCCCTAGCTTAATGATGGATGTGTTCGCTTTCTAAAAAATACAAAACTAAATAGCACAATCCTAGAACTATGAAATACAGAAAAAAATACATAGAAATACGTCACACTTATTCAAATTTATATCATGTAAAGGGTGGGACGCCATTGTATCTATTGAAAAAAGTTATTTTCAATAGCAGAAAACTGATTAATGATTGTTGTATGGGGAGCGTCAAAATTAACAGAATCCTATGTAAATTGAGAGTGGTATCCACCATCCATTGCAGCCAACACTTTTGCCAGCATAAAGATGGCTCAGCCAACTCTTATTTTATATTATTATGGAAATGGGATGGAAGTGTTACTTGACAAAGTGAGAGAAATGGAAAAAACAGTTTCATGGAAAAATTAGTCTACATGAATGTTCCACAACAAGTTCAAATAAAATAAAGCTAGCTTTAAGAATGGTTATTAATTAATATATTCCATGACGCTCTTTTATTTGACCATTTGCATCAATTTCAAGGCGACTGTTTCATCTTGGCATTCAAGTGGAAATTATCTTTTCAAATTAATCTGTTACAAAAGCGAAAAAGAAAAAAGAGTTATTGATAGGCAGAACTGACTGGGAGGTTGGGCAAAATGAGTACTGTATCACACTCTCTATTACTCGAGTTGTCCATAGTTTTGCCACTCCATATACAATGTTTTCAAAGCGCCCTGGTCAGATACATGTACACAATAGCGATATGGCTAAGACGCCATGTTCATTAGTGACGTCATTAACCAATGACCCCTGAGAGGCGAAATGACTCCATACAAAGAGGATGTTTGTCATCTACTTCACAGCCTGTTTTATACCTGATATATATAGGGCATTCTGCAGCATATACAAGTTGAATTCATTTGAAGAATTTATTCATAGACCTCAAATTTCATGTACAGAGTAAACAAAAGCAAGACCTTTGCTTTTCTTTAATGCTTAATACTTTAATGATTTGTGTGTACTCCTACATATTCCTTGCACAGAAAAATACTCAGAAATATGTAGTATTTCTGTGTACTCTCACCTTGCACAACAAATACAAAGAAAACATGTTGTATTTATTGTATTAGTACATCATAATCAATGCATATTCAAAGTGAGCCTACCTTGTCTTATACCAGATTCTGCCGTAAATTCGCTCATCTGAAAAATTGCCCTGGGAGGTTTCACGGCTGGTGGGCCCTTATTAGGGGTTCAAATTTTCAAAAAATTAACATAAAATATATTTTCATTGAAAAATCCACCTACGCCGATTTTCAACGCCGGCAGTTGGACCACCCAAAGCGAAAGACACTATTCAATTTATTAAATTTTATACATTTTGTTCTTGCTGGATTAAAAAGTAGACCATGCAACTTTCTCCTAAAAAATCACATTAACGAACCTCATGCGCCAAATACAATTATTTTGTTTCGTTTTATAACGAAAGTATATTCTAAAAAAAGTTTCAAATAAAAACAAACCAAACTGCATTACTTAGTAGGAAATGATCGCGGCAGTGCAATCCGGTCATGTTGCGTTTCACGGTTGTTGATTATTACCTAGTAATGGTTAAAATAACGTGAAAAAAATAAAATTTGTTGAATTGTTATGAAATGCAAATAAATTTCAGCTTATTTCATCGTAAGCGAATGATTCCAATCGCATTTTCAACACTCGATGCTGTAGAAATGAATATCTACCATGTTTTGACCTGGACGGTGTTCTTTGACCTGACAGGTCAAATTGATAATTTAGGTAGATTTGCAGGTTTGTGGGCACTTGGGAGTGACATTTTTTTTTTTTGCATTTTATTATCCAAACAGTCTTGGCTATAGACTGTTAAAGTTTTGTAGAATTGAGAATAGTGAAACATACTTAAAAGACGATTTTAAAATATAGATAACAGGTGCAAACATTCTCTCTTTTGAATGCTTAGCAAGATTTAGCAAGGCCGTACATAAATAATAAAAAAGAAGCATGGTGAAAAAAAGAAATGATGGGATCTCCATATTATGCACTATATTTATCTTTTTACAAAACGATAATACATTTAAATTTGGAACTGTTAAGCCATTATAAATATGAGCATTAGCAAACTTCTTACTGAGTGAATTGTTATGCAAATTAGCAATTATCTTGGCTTCTTTTTAGTGCACATCCCAGAACTTTAAAAAAAAATAGTTTCTAGATGCTTTGACCTTTTCACAAATGATTGACAATGTGTTTATTTTCAAAACGCCGTCGGGGCACTGTTTTTGGTTGAACAGTGTGTTAATTTATGCATAAACTTGAAGTAGTAAAATTTGAGCTGCTGCCCTGCAAAATTGACAACTGGTAGACAGTTTTCAAGACGGCACTTTCTTCATAGTAAACAGATGTACCCGTAAACCAATTTTGACAGGAAACAGAATCATGGTTTAGAAGCTTTTTTTTTTTAAATCACTTTTGACCAAAAAATGCACATTTTTGTGCATATTTCAAACTACAGTGTCCATACAAAAAGAATACTAACACAATTTTAAAATTCATACAATAAGCTTTCCGAAAATATATAGTTTGTAGGTTTCCTAATTAACTAATTAAAATACCTGTCAGGTAAACTGCATCTCTACCTTAACCAATGAAAACGATGAATAATGTGTTGGACGTGTTAAAATTACCATAGCTCATTCAAATATGTTTATGATATTGAATGCAGCACGGAATAGTCTGTGGGATTAGCTTTCTTGCATGCAGTCTGAATATAACAAAGTCTAAGTGTAGTTCTTCATTGGTGACTGATTAAACCTTAGCAGAAGCCCAGAGTGTGATGTTGTGTGATTCCTGCTTTATCAAATTTATTTGATGTGAACTTGTTGGTATTAAGTTGTAAATTGCTTTCTAACTAATCTTACTTCTCTTCTGCAACCCTTCTTGTAATAGTTAAACACATGGAACCTGTATATGCAACACCTAAAGCAGATGAGTCAAAACTTGATGACTACCATAATAATCGTAATTCTGATCATAAATATGACTATCAGCAAAAAGCATCTAGTGAGTATGGAAATTTTGAACAGCAGTATAAGAATAATAATGGACGCAATAACAATCTTGGTTACACAGACTCGCATAGAAGTCGTAACCGTGAAAAAACTGATGAAGCCAACTACCAGAAAAGTTACCATAATTCTCATCCTGACAACACTCATGACAAGATGGAACAAAATTACGATGCTCAAGACAATGTTGATAAAAACTCTCCTCCGCACGGTCGTGGCAAAGGAGCAGCTGAGCATAAACAAGGTGGTGATGGAAGAAAGTACTCTGAAACTGTTACTGCACCAGCACTACTTATTAACAAACTAACATCAAAAGTTCCCGCACCATCTGTACAATTGTATCATTATGTTTCCGAATATGATGCAAGTAATGATGGTAACTTCTCACTTCTATTGTCATTACACTGTGCTTATCACCTGGCTCTGTCTGGTTTCTTGATTGTGCTGGCATTTGTATTAAATTTTGTGTTAGTTTGTTAGTTCCAATTCCGTACACCTCTTTTATGTCCATCATCAGTAAGTCTGATGAATACATGTATGTATATATGTCTCTTAAAGTGTATCTATATTATTACAAGTCTCTCACCATATCAATAAATTACTGCATGCTGTAATTTTGTGGTAGTGCACAAGATATTTACACTATTTTATTAGGAAATGTGAATATGAAATGACAATGCACATGTTAACAAACAAAATTCATACATTTTGTAGCAAGAAAGTTTTACTAATTTTCACCATCTTGCTAAGTTCTGGGCTTCACACCAAATTGTTGGGTACAAAGTCTGCACAAAGACAGTGCACACTTTATGGTACACTTTGTAATAACATTGTATTATTACATGTATACATTTGTACATCTGTCACCGTAAGGCCATACGTTACAGCGTGCTGTAATTTTGCGGTATTTTACGGGGTATTTTCATTCTACCATATTAGAAAATGCAAATTCCAAATATGGAGTGATAACACGCATAAGCGTCCTCTAATAATAAAAACAAACACCACCACCACCAGGATTTGACCGGACTTCACACATAAGTTCGCTGATTCTGTTCTAAACATTTTGGATTTTGCCATTCCCATGATGTATCCTTGGAAGAAAAAGATGTATAATAATAAGGTTATTGCAAGGATTCTTCAAAGTATGCACTCAAACATGTACACAGTCGCATCGACCTCCGCTGTGCGTCGGTCAAGACTTTTGCTGTACTGTGCTGCATACTTGAAGGTATCCTCTTAATAACCCCATATTATGATATATCATACTAGGAGATTGTGGTGTATGCAAACGTTGCAAAGTGTGCAAAACCTCCATTGTATTCAATCAGAAAACAGTTCATTGATGCATAGCAGGGCTTGAACTTAACATTTTGCAGGCACAGCTTTTCTAAAAGTGCCTTAGGCTAAAAGTGAAATACATATTTAAACAAGGCATTCAGGTAGGGTGTCATCCTTGTGTGCATGTATAACTTAAATTTAATATTATTTTGTGTTATTTAGTAGTTGTACCATCTGCCAAAACTTGTGCTTTCATACTGCTTTTTCTACATATGCGCAGGCCATTATTTATAGAACTGTGATTTTTTCCATTCTTGTGTACTGTTATATCTTTTGACATTCAACTGCTGAATGGGGTTTATATAGAGGTCAGCATCTAAACTTTACCTGACCAAACTTTACTGTGAAGCTCTGAAAAACAACTCACAGATTTAATTTGCCTCTTTATACACTATACATTGTATGTGTTTGTGTATTATGATGTTATGATCTGGTACTGATGATTGATGTATACTATTTGTGTTCCAGATTATAGTAATACATGGTATTACTACACTATGGGTAATGGTGGCAACTATGATGATAATTACAAATATGACTATAAATCATATAATGATTACGAAAAGACAAAAGAAGGATACGAGAAAAGTTTCTCAACTGTGAAAACAACAAATCAAGAATCTGAAGATCCCTTAGACCATGACCAGGATGGTAAGACTTTTTTAACCAGTAAATGTTGATTATAAGTTAATTTTTGTACAGAAAATGTATATAATTCAACTAATAATGAAGAGGATAATATTAAATGTTTAGGTCCTCCATAATATGTCATCTGTCAAAATTTTTTTGCATTTATAATCAAATTGTGTATGTTATTAAATTCACAGATGAAGAAACAGTACAATCCTGGGAACCAACAACCCCAACAGCTGTGAAGGCCCAAACAGATAAAACATCTGACAAGGCCAAGGAAAACTATCCAATAACAAAGGCTGTGAGTGGTGCCAGTGTTAAACAGCCAACTGAAGCAGTTCAGAAAGAAATTCAGAACATGAGTGTTGAGGTTGATGCAGAATTAATCAGTAGACGAACAACACCAGAAACTAGTGTTATTTTGCCACTTGCTATTGGCCTTGCTATCACCCTTGTACTTCTTGTTATGGTGGCATGTCGACTAAGAATGGTTAAGCGTAAATTACGCCACGGCCGGCCCTTGGCAAATTCGCAAGAAGCAGATTATTTAATTAATGGTATGTATCTGTAATTGTAAAGAGAGAAAAATATGTAAATATTTATTGTAAGCTTATCACTTACCTGTATCAAATTGCGTCAGGAATATTACATTTCAAACAAAACAGTGTAAAATTTCAAACTAATCTAAATAAAATAAGAGTCCAACCTAGTTATATGCAAAGATAAAGGAAATAAAACATTTGTGTGTTTTTTTCTAAATCCATTTTTCAGGGTAGATTTACCTTTAATTCCACATATTTACAAGTTATTCCAACTGTATTTATTCTCTACCAACTCAGAGCAAGGTTTGGTTTATTTTCATTTCCTGTTATTATTTGACTGTATGGTAGGCAGTTTATTTTATTTTTACATTATTTAAGAAACTTCTATACTCATCGACTCTGAACCATATGTCTGTATATATTAGAATTTTGTCCTTAATAATTAACAAAAAGTGAGTAATTTCATTTAATGAATTCATGGCAATCATAAGTAGGTACATGTATGAAAAACCTTGAATGTTTGAAAGAAAGGTATGTTAGTAACTTTACATGTACAAGTATTCCAAAATTTGTACTTTATTCATCTAAATTTTATGTCTAGAATATTGAAAAAAAATATATACGTTGTTGTGATTGCCTGTACTGTTCGGAAGATATATAAGTGATGGTAACTAACATTGTACTACCTGTATTTTTACATTTGATTATTGTCCATTATTGTAATTTGATGTGTTTTGTATACGCCTAAATTCATGTAAGGTTTCCAAACAATTGGTTGAATTTAAACTTAAATTGTTTCTGCCTTAGACAAGAACTATTAATTTGTTAGACACATCTTTGAATACTGGTTCAGAATCTGCTACAAACAAAAATAAGCTGCACATAATTTTTGTGTTCTGGGCGAATATGGCTGTGTGTGGCTGCCAGGATGCTTTTTATATTAATATATCATGTAGAACCTTTATGTACAGCAGTGTACTATGTCTTGATAGTGATTAATGATATAGTTTGTCATCTGTAAGTCGTGTCTCAGCTGTCTGTGATTAGCATGTGGGGTTCTTCATCAAGACAATTCTGGTGGGTTGAGTAATGGCAAATTGAATTTAGTCACCTAATCTGTTGTTAAGTATTTCAGCTTATGCCTGTTTTGCAAAGAAGGGTCTTTGTGTTGAATAATATAACTTCAAGGATACTTCATTAGATGTCTTTTGAAAGTAGACGCTTTGGGTAGATGTTGAAGGTAGGCACTTCATTGGATGTTAGTAGAAGGTAGGCACTTCATTGGATGTTAGTAGAAGGTAGGCACTTCATTGGTTGTTTGTTGAAGGTAGTCACTTCATTGGATGTCTGTTGAAAGTAGGCACTTCATCAAATGTCTGTTGAAGATAGGCACTTCATCGAATGTCTGTTGAAAGTAGGCACTTCATTGGTTGTTTGTTGAAGGTAGTCACTTCATTGGTTGTTTGTTGAAGGTAGTCACTTCAATGGATGTGTGTTGAAGGTAGGAACTCCATTGGATGTTTGTTGAAAGTAGGTACTTCATTGGATGTCTGTTGAAGGAAGGCACTTCATTGGATGTCTGTTGAAGGTTGTCATTTCATTGGATGTCTGTTGAAGGTAGGCACTTCATTGGATGTCTGTTGAAGGTAGGCACTTCATTGGATGTTTGTTGACAATAGGCACTTCATTGGATGTTTGTTGACAATAGACACTATTGGATGTCTGTTGAAGGTAGGTACTTCATC